CAAGAGGCTCACTCGAAAGTACCTTCCACGATTGAATAGATGTGTTTTGTCCGACAATGAAAGGGGTTGTGGTGGTTAGTGTATACATGACGAAGAAAGCAGCAAAAAACTGCGATGTAATGAAAACCACACACACTGTGTGAACCGCATGAGCGACCTTTGCGCTCTGCCCCTACGCACTTTCATTAGTTGGTCCTACCTACCATTCACCCACCTTATTGTATTGTACCATATCATGATCAAAGACAAGCCAGTAGAGACCTGCAGGCAGGGTCAACCCTGCGTTGCGCAAATTCCAAAATTTTTACGACCCCTTTCAGAGAGAATAAGTACGCCCCCCCTACGAGCTACTGTGTTAGCTATTTATGTCCTTTTACATATTTTTATGCCCATTTGAAGACGGCCCACAGACCTCTTCTTTTGAAAGGTTTCATCTTTCTTCAAAAGTGGTTTCATGAGATGGATACAAAATTTGAAAACTTCAAATAGTTTTCTTTCTAAAAAGTATTTGAAATGTTGCAAATGTTCAATATTTCAAAAAATCGTCCCGTTGTTCCGTTTTTTGTGCACACGCGAGTTTTCGACATTCAAACATTCATAACTTTCTTCATAATCAACTTTTTGCAGATGTCTAAGGCTAATTAGAAACTAGAAGATTAGCGCTTTCAAACAAGCACCTGACTTTTTTCCAACGATCACTCTCTCAAAAAATAGTCCCGTTGTTCCGTTTTTGGGGGGTTTGTGGTCCGATTTTTGAGAAGGCGCGAGTTTTCGACATTCAAACGTTCATAACTTTCTTCATATCAACTTTTGCAGATGTTCAAGGCTAATTAGAAACTAGAAGATTAGAGCTTTCGAATAAGTGCTAAAACTTTTTCAAAAAATCACTCGCTCAAAAAATAGTCCCGTTGTTCCGTTTTTCCCCCTTGATTTTTTTCAAGCCATTTTCCTGAAACGCGACTTTGCAATCTTCAAACGTCCATAATTTCCTTCAAAATTCATATAATGAGAAGCGGTAAAAAGTGTTGAAGTCTACATGAAGAGTGCTTTACAACGTATGCAAAATTTTCCTAAAGCTTTCTTCTGCCAGAATTTCTGAGGTGGTCCCTAGAAGTCAATTCAGCTTTAACTTTCTTCCACTTAGATTTGTTCTGAAAGCATCAAGATTTTTTTGAGGAAGTTTGTCTGCTTACGGCCGCTGACAGATAAAGCGTTTTGAAGTGAAAACTCCTGCTCGGGGTACGCCGTGCACCTGTCTGTGGTTAGCAGTCGCACTCGCATTTGAAAGTCTTCCACTCCCCTGAAGACGGTAATAGTATCGCGATTGTAGTTGCGTTGTGCGAAATCCTGTTTAATACGTTTTGTTTTCTCCCTCCCCTTTCACTCGGCCAAATACGACCCCCTCGTTGTTCTTTGCGCAACGGGTGGTTGACCCTGCCTGAAGGATCCTTTCCTAAACGAGCAGCACGCTATTTTAACGGTTCTTAGCAGTCTTGTTTTCTCTTGTATCGCTGATGAACCTATTGGTACAACTAGGTTCATTTTCTAGAGCAATAAAGTACACTTGTACAATCATGAAGTGAGGCTTGGAGTGAGGCTTTCCTTCCTTAAGTATAACTAGAAGTCAAGCGATCATCACCCACAGCCGTGCATGCGCAGGAAACACGATACTGTAAGCAGAAATGCTTGTCTCCATGCAAGATCAATCATGAGAAGTGGCGAGAAATTTCCGCCACATGACCCTCTTTCCTTATCAAAATCTTGAATAGCACCGTCCGCTCTCTTCTCACTCGGCTAGGCTCGACAAATGGTTGATTTCTGCTCCTAAGCCCTAGTGCTCCTCAGAGACTGCTTGCATGGGATACGCACTGGAACCCCTTCATATCCCAACCTCGGCTCGAGTGACTCACATTTAATGTTCTTGTTTTCAGCAAAGACTCTTGCAATGTATTCTGAAAACAGAGTGAAGGACGCGCATACAATCATCGATTTAGCCATGTACAATTATGAAGAGGTAAGGTTTTCCTGGGAGAGTTGCCAAGCTGTTGTAGAAAATGGTTGCCTTGCTCGATCTAATGAATTGCCGCAAAACGTTTACACCGATGGTGGCCATTCTCAGTAGTCAGCTCTTACTAGAGACGATTGAAGAATTTTCAGTTGAAAGACTTGGTCAACCACCGGTCGTACAAACTACGAAAAAAGTTGGACCTTTTCTTAAATTGGCTTTTTCCTAAAACATGGATTCCTCGATATTCGATGGTCACGTTCACGAGAATGCCGTACCATCAAATTGTAGAGGACCGCCGATGGCAAGATAAGGTAAATTCTTGTTTTCCTTTACTCGAACATGGAGGGATTTTCCAGTTGACGCTATCAGAGGTATTAACAATTACAAAAATATTTCAGATCCTTTCAAGATTACAATTCTCTTTTGTGAGCATAGCAGCTGCACTGGACTGTCATTTGTTGTACAATGCAAGAAGAGAGGAGTACTATAAAACATTGTTGACTGTTATCTGAAATAAAATATTATATTTAAATGGTGTTGTTAGAAACTGATTTCCATCAGAGGACTTCCTTGCATAGTGGATTGGCTAGGAATTTTCCGCCATTTTTTGCCTAATGGCTTTTTAACATTTTGTTAAATATAAAAGCATTTGCCGTTGATCAATCCCTTTTGGGATGCGGCACGCATTCTACTTCCATTTGTACATTCGTAGTGGCGTTTGAATGCGATGTGGCCTATACAATGACTTGCGGGGGCCAGCCGATGTACAAGTCAGTGTTTTTATCCTCCCAGACAAGTCTGGTACCAATTAACCGACCCCGGAGGCCCGAAGAGATGAGGAGGCTGTTGGTTCGGGCGAAGCACGAACCAGGATCAGGGTGAAATCGTGTCGAGGACGTGGTCATATCAGTACGATCCCCCCACTTAGATCGGGGTCTTGATACGACCCCTCTAACTTTACTTGATGTGAATAAGCGAGTTCAATCAATGCACAAGCAAAGCATTCAGTTGCAGCGTCCCCCATTTACATAATTTTTTGGAGCAGTATGTGGTAGGGTTAGATAGAGCTGGATTTGCTACCGGAACAATATTGAAATTGATCTAAAAGCTTCACACTCGAAGAGATAGGGTCTCTCAAATTTTGTCGAGGGCAGCGTCGAGGATGCGGAATTTTTCATGCGAGTTTTTGCCACTTAAAAGGCAATATCTCTCTAATTTTCGTATAACTTCGTATAATGTATGCTATTTTATTTTATTAGTTGTTTTGAAAGGAAAGGGAGACAGTTCTGAAAAGTGGAACGTTTGCGCTTTCGAACCGCCGTTTTAGCTTTATCCATCACTTTCTACGTTGAAGAGATATGCTGGCGTCGATCTGCAGGTGCTGCTCCTATGGAGGACGGATGTCAAGCCTACCTAAAAAAAACCCACCTAAAAAGGTGCTCAAGTTCTCAACATTGCAAGCTAATTCGTTAGCAACTCTCGAAATGTGACTAGGATAAATTCTCCCACCGTAAACGACAAGAAATAGGGGCAATCTTCATAATCGCTCTCGTCGCAGTATAGGCATGCATCCGACTCCCACCCAGCTTCTAGCAGTATTGGAAGTGTTGTTAAGCAAAAAACACATATGATGATGAGTGTTGAAATTAACTATTGTAGTGTAACACATTTCGTATTTCCTGTAACCTGAAGAACAGCTTCATTTGCCCAGAGTCTTCCAGAACTATTGTCGTTTTTGCGACAGCGTCCCTAACAACAGTGTCATTCTCAACGAGGTATTGAGGGCGAGGGAGCGGGCGGTAGATAGAGGAAATGCCTTCGCAGCGCGTGTGCACATGTGACCCTGTTCCTTGCAAAGATGCACTTTCATTCTTTGTATACTTTCAAATACTTCCTTCTCGAAGGTAGAGGGACGGAGCGACTGAACCTGCAAAGAATATTTTATATCATGTTTTCTCACATATCCTTGTTTTCTGCTGCGCTACACCCTCTCCCTCCTATCTGCACCACGATGCCACTGACGTTACTGACCCCCACGAGTACGACCCCCATGACCAAATACGACCCCCTGTCGAGATTTTCTCGTAACGAATATTCATCAGCATACATTATACGAAGTTATACGTGCACTTGCCAACTACACAACTTTCCGCCCTTGGTTGACTATTTCTTATTATGATAATGGATGTCTTTCAAGCAGCGTCATCTGTCGCACTCATAATCCCTGTTTCAGTAGCCAAGGAAAAGAATGTATCAGCTTGCCGCAAAATCTGCAGTCATACTATACACTGCGTCACCATAATTATACGTCCACCTAAGAATTTCCCAAAATCTCACAGATATAGATGTTTTGAAAAAAGTCTTCAATGTAGCAATGTGTCATATATAAATGCGGGATCACCAATGAACATCAATTTTCTATTTGAGATCACAGGAATTTTTTTTTCAATAATTTTTGTGTAAAAGGCCACTCAGCCGACGTCCCAAAATTATACGTCCACCTCACGTTTATCGATTACTTTTCACTTCTGTTCCACGAAACTTTTTCATTGTGGTAACACTTCACTTTCTAAGGGAACAGCATAATAAAGACTGCTGTTGGATTTTGAGAAAGGGAAAAATGTCGCAAAAACTGTTGAACAACGCAATCGCACCAGATTTGGTCCAGATTCACGCCAAGCTTGAGAATTTTTTCAGAGGTTTCACATGATATGGAGTTTAGAAGAGCTCTAAAAGTCTCTCATTACTTTTCGATGGAAACAAAGGCCGTGTTACAGAAAAACATCCACTTTCATCCAACGGTGCTCTGTCGTCGAATCTTCTTGAGAACTTTATGCCTCAACGGACTTTTGTTTCATGCATGTAAAGGAATCCCAAGATCATTCTTGATCGGAAATGTGAAAGACGTTCATTATGCAAGGACTGGGTGTCCCCCAACAGGCCCACCGCGCGGCGAAGCAAGAGACGCAGATGCGGCAAAGAGACGAGTTGCAGCGCGTGCTGTGCGATATGAGACGTAGTATGGTACACTCTTTAACCTGACGCCTAACCGCTACAGTATGCGCTGCGACTCGTCCTTTGCCGCGTCTGCGTCTCTTGCTTCGCCGCGCGGTGGGCCTGTTGGGGGACACCCCAAAATCGTGGCGAAAACTGGGGCTGATTTTTGCATGATGGTGCAGGGTCCTTTCTCCTTGCTATGCATGAGTGTTTGTCTGTCTTTCTTTTCAACATTTTCTTTCTTTTAGTAGTGCTCCACTAAGAAAAAAGCCATTAAGGGAAAGGTAAACGTGAGAAGAGAAACAAACAAATGCCAAAACATATCGGGCAGAAGCGAACCTTACTTCAGTCGGCTCGGCTGCACCTTCATGCAAAAATCAGCCCAGTTTTCGCCACGATTCCTTGCCATAAATGAACGTCTTTCACATTTCCGATCAAGAATGATCTTGGGATTCCTTTACATGCATGAAACAAAAGTCCGTTGAGGCATAAAGTTCTCAAGAAGATTCGATGACAGAGCACCGTTGGATGAAAGTGGATGTTTTTCTGTAACACGGCCTTTGTTTCCATCGAAAAGTAATGAGAGACTTTTAGAGCTCTTCTAAACTCCATATCATGTGAAACCTCTGAAAAAATTCTCAAGCTTGGCGTGAATCTGGACCAAATCTGGTGCGATTGCGTTGTTCAACAGTTTTTGCGACATTTTTCCCTTTCTCAAAATCCAACAGCAGTCTTTATTATGCTGTTCCCTTAAGAAGTGAAGTGTTACCACAATGAAAAAGTTTCGTGGAACAGAAGTGAAAAGTAATCGATAAACGTGAGGTGGACGTATAATTTTGGGACGTCGGCTGAGTGGCCTTTTACACAAAAATTATTGGGAAAAAAATTCCTGTGATCTCAAATAGAAAATTGATGTTCATAGGCAATTCCCGCATTTATATATGATACATTGTGCACATTGAAGACTTTTTTCAAAACATCTATATCTGTGAGATTTTGGGAAATTCTTAGGTGGACGTATAATTATGGGACGCAGTGTACTTACCTCAGCTCAAAGTCAACATATTTTTAGTCGTTTCAAAAACATTTGGAAACTATTATACTTACCTCCCTCAACAAGAAGCGAACTGAATCAATACGCAAGCTCAAAGTTTGAAAGCCGGGAAGGCGCAGAAATCGTCGAACGTCTTTTCCATCTTGCCTCGTGTTTCAAAACATTTTCTGTTTAAGAAACTGCCGAGATGACTGAAAAGTGGGTGTTGTTGATAGGAAGATCTTGTAATTGCACTGTGCAGAGCAAAGCTATAACAGATCGATTCCTCAGTTCTAACGAGGTCAAGAATGGTGAAAATCGTGTCGACGTGGTCACATCGGTACGACCCCCCCCCTCGCATCGGGTTCTTGATACGACTCCTCTAACTTTGATTTGACGCGAGTAAGCGAGTATCACCAATGTACAACAAAGCATTCAGTTGCAGCGCGGTTTATCCGTGGGTCTGATTTGCCGAAACCCCGCTCGAACCGTGGAAAATCAACACTCTCACATTCCTCATTTCGTAACTTTTGAAACGGTATGTGGAACTGTGGATAGAGCTGGGCTACCGGGGCAATATTGAAAGTGTTTGGCTCCTTGCTAACACCACCGAAATGAGCGGCTTCAGCAACAGCCACGCATTTCTCTGCTGTTCTTAGCCTCCCGATAATTCGGTCAATTATCTTTGTTCAGTTTCAAGAAGCAATGGAAAATTCGGCGAAAATGGACTGAAAGTCTACTCAAATTGTGTTCTATCGCTAAAAATATGCCATCAAGAGCTTGATAATCTACCACAATCAATTTGAGCTTATGAGGTCCGCCTCTCGATACAGGATCAGCTGAAGCAGCCTCGTTTGGTACGAAGAAACGGTCCTGAACCAGAGGATAGACATTTTTGTCTATGTTGCAGAAGAGGAGGGAAGGGAGGGCCGTGGGAGGGAGGGAGGATTTCCATGGGTGAAGAAGACATTGTCATGAGCAAGAAACTGTGACAGGTCTGGGTAAGATGTAGGGGCTCGTGAGCTCCCTTCACACCCTCCTTAATTAAACAGTATAACTCGAAGCAAGTCACGTGCCCGTTATCACGTTTCCTCTCCGTCGTCAACAACACTCTCTGGAGAGATGGCAGAGTACATTGAATAATGGCTTCGTTCAACGCTATTTTCTCTCTTTTCCAGCTCCATTCTTTTCGCGCCGTCCCAGGGTGAATATCGCTTGAGGATTCCTCAACGGCACGTCGAGGATTCTCTGCCCGATCAGAGACGATCTCTCGCGCGGACATTCACACTCGCCATGGCGTGCCGTCTGTGCTCTCCGCGCGGATGTTCACTCTCGGCACTACTCTCGCATGGTAGAGAGCTATGGTCGAGGAAATCCTCGACCGTTATTCACCCTGGTACCTAGCCATCCTTCTTTGTCGATTTTTCGCCGTCCAGGCTTTGTAATTCCAAGTTCAAAGC